ATCAGGCTGCTGGTGCATCTGGCAGACTCACCCACAGGAGGATATCCTCAGAGTGCAATGACACTCCGAGCACTACTTATGCTTGGCCCTCTGGGAGGCACACTGATGAGGTCTCCTTCTGCATGGGTCAGATGCTTCCCAAACTGCTGAGGGAATGGGGTAGGGGGTTGGATCTGTTCATCACTCACCCCTTCCCTTTTCCCTGATGTTAGTATTCCTAACTGAATTGTAGGCACATGTCCCTTCAGTAGAAAAAGTCCAAGTCTTCTTACTGTGTTGGTGTAAGTATTCTTAATTCAGTTCTAGGCATACTTTCCTTTAGTACACATACCCTGGACCCTCTCGCTGTACTGGTGGAAGTATTCCTAATTCAGTTCTAGGTATGTGTTCTTTTAATATACATAGCTCAGGTTCCCTAACTGTGTTGGTGTAAGTATTCTTAATTCAGTTCTAGGTATATGTCCTTTTAATATACATAGCTCAGGTCCCCTAACTGTGTTGGTGTAAGTATTCTTAATTCAGTTCTAGGCATAATTTTCAGCTAGATTATCTTCCTCTGAATCCACCTGTTGTCCCGTGACTGTGCCAGTGTGGGGGATGGGGTGACTGGGACTCCACACCAGTTCTGTCCATCTGGTTCACAGTGATCAGCCCGGGAGATGGAGGGCTGATTCCTCAGTCCGAGGACACAGCTCCACTGCTCAGTGGTGGGGACACTGGAGTACTTTTCTGTCTAGTTTCCCAGATTACAGTGATGGTGACAGGCTTGCATCTTCTCTGCTGGGTCCAAGCACCTGGTCCCCTTGTTGCACTCTTGCTGTAGACTTTGTTGTCAGTGACTGGCCTGGTGCCAAAGAAGGTGACAGTGGTGGAACCTGGTGCTAAAGAAGGTGACAATGGTGGAGCCTGGCACCAGATGCCCAGAGGCAGCCATTCCCCATGACTTCTTTTGAGATGGGTCTTGATGAATTTTGTCAGTTTCCAAAAATGGCACCTGTTTCTGCACTGTGGAAAGCACTGAGGACAGTGCTGCCGTGGTAGCGGTTGCTTCACCAGGAGAGCCCAGGGTGCTAACTCCTGGATCTCCACTAATTCAGACACTTGCACACCTGCTTACACATGTACACACACACAAGTTCATCCTTGCATACACTCACACAGAGACTTGCACACTCCAACCAGATCCACTGCTATCTTGGATCTAGGCAGATATATCTACTAAAGGGATATATGTCCAGAATTGAATTAGGATTACTTGTATCAACAAAAGAATGAGATCTGGGCTAGGCATCTGCCTAGAACAGAATTAGGAATACTTGTACAAGCATGGTGAGAGGACCTGGGCTATATCCATTAGCAGGACGTAACTCAGAAATGAATTAGGAATCCTTACACCAACACATTGGGAAAACACAGGCTATGTCTATTAAAGGGGCATATGCCAAGAACTGAATTAGAAATACTTGCTCTACCACACCGAAAAAACCCAGGCATGTTTACTAAAGGGACATAAGCCTAGAACTGTACTAGGAATAGTTGCACCAGCACAGTAAGGGGACCTGGGCTAGGTCTAATAAAGGAACTTATGCCACAAACTGAATTAGGTATACTTGTATCAGCACAGTGAGAGGACCTGGTCATGTTTACTAAAGGGACGGATGCCTAGAACTGAATTAGGAATACTAATACCAGTACTGCGAGAGGACACGGGCTATGTCTCTACTAAAGGGATGTAGGCCTAGAATTGAATTAAGAATACTACCAGCAGCATGGTCTACTGATGTATGTCTAGAACTGAACCAGCACACTGTGAGAGGATCCAAGCTATATCAACTAAAGGGGTGTGTGCCTATAACTGAATAAGGAACACCTGTACCACCACAATTAGGGGACCTGAGTTATGTATATTAAAAGGACATATACTTTGAACTGAATTAGGAATACTTCCACCAGTACAGTGAGAGGGTCCAGGGTATGTGTACTAAAGGAAAGTATGCCTAGAACTGAATTAAGAATACTTACACCAACACAGTGAGAAGACTTGGACTTTTTCTACTGACGGGACATGTGCCTACAATTCAATTAGGAATACTAACATCAGTAAAGTGAGGGGACTCGGCTATGTCTACTAAAGGGATGTAAACCTAGCACTGAATTAGGAATTCTTGCAACAGCACGTTGAGGGGACCTGGGTTATGTCTAAGAAAGGGACATATACCTAGATCTGAATTAGGACTAATCGCATCAGCACAATGAGAGCACCCAGGTTATGTCTACTAAAGGGACATTTGCCTAGAACTGAAATAGGATTAATTGCTGCACAGCGGAAGTACCTAGGCTATGTCTAATAAAGGGACATTTGTCTAGAACTGAATTAGGAGTACTTGCCCCAGCACAGTGAGAGCACCTGGGCTATGTATACTAAAGGGATATAAGCCTAAAGTTGAATTAGGAATACTTGCACCAGCGCAGTGAGAGGATGCAGGCTCTCCTTGCTAATGGGATGAATGCCTAGTACTGAATTAGTAATACTTCTGCACAATGAGAGGATCCAGGCTATGCCTACTAAAGAGACATGTACCTAGAACTGAATTAGTAATACTTACATCAGCATGGTGAGGGGACCTGGGCTATATATACTAAAGGGAAGTATGCCTAGAACGGAATAGGAATTCTTGCATTAGTCCAGTGAGAGGACTGTTTTTTTTTCTACTGAACAGACATATGCCTACAACTTAATTAGGAATACCTGTACCAGCACGGTGAGAGGACTCAAGCAAGCTATTGCTACTAAAGTGATGTATGTCTAGAACTGAATTAGGAATACTTGCACTGCTCACCCTTCTTTATTTTTGCAAAAGCCTGTGTGTATTGATATAGTCTTTTCTTTAGCCATGTGCCACTCTCAGTGGGCCCGTGTCAACCTGTAATTGTAAATCAGCACCTTGGAGTGGCACAAGGTTGCCACCTAGCTAGAGCAGTTGACCTGGATTCTTGCAACATTCACTGGTCTCTTGGCATCTTCTCCTACATTTCCAAATTATTTTGAAGAATTAGGGATTATAGAGTCCCTAGCATCAGGAGAGATCTTAGATCGATGGTTTGGATGCAGGACCATGTTGCTAAACCTGCCCCCACTCTATATCCCATATGACAAGTAGCTGCCCAGCTTGACCCAGTGAGCCTGGGTGCTCACTGTCTTAAGGAGGCATTCTAGCTGTGGACATCTCTACAGAAAGTGCCCTCATTCCTCTTTTTATTGGCTAGAACCAGGGGTTCCCTACCTTTTTGTCATCAGTGACTGGTTTCATGGATGACATTTTTTCCATGAATTGGGGGTGGGGCAGATGATTTCAGGATGATTCGAGTGCATTACATTTATTGTGAACTTTATTTCTATTATTATTACATTGTACTATGTAATAAATAAATATACAAGTCACCATTAGAATCAGTGGGATCCCTGAGACTGTTCTCCTACAACTAGACAGTTCCATTTGGGGGTAAGGTTGCTTATGTCCAATCTACTCTGTAATCTCAATTTTGCTGCTGTCACTGCAGGAAACCCTGCTTCACAAAGATAGGATGTTGGACATGGAAGCAGGCTTTTCAGTGCTGATCTGGAGGTGGAGTTCAGGCGGTAATATGAGTGATGGGGTGTCACTATAAATACAGAGAAAGCTTCATTTGGTCACCTGCCACTCACCTTCTGCTGTGTGGCCTGGTTCCTAATGCCACAGACTGGTACTGGTCTGTGGCCTGGGGGTTGAGGCCCCTGCCCTAGAGGATATCTTTCCTTGATCCTTACACCTCACCTAATTGTCCCCTGGCCTTCTCTTTCCTAGGCTTGGGCATTTGCAATTTTTCAAGTGTCCCTTTAAAGGACACTTGAAGTACCTGCTCTCTCTTGTTCCGCCCATTGTTAAATTTCCTGCCCTTGAGGCTGCCCTTGCCTTGTGGTGAGGGAGGTACCAGCACTGATTTGGAGCCAGGATTCTCAGTGGGTCAGGTTATGGTGCGGCTGGAAGTGTCCCCACCCCTGGCTACCCCAAAGACAACAGTTGGGACCCTACAGTTTGTTAACACAAAAATTCCAAGTTCCGCCAAATATGTTTGAAGAGGTAAGCCAACCATGAGTGACAAGTCCTGGGACACAGTCTTGAAAGCCTATGTCCAGGGTAGCTGAATTGGTTTGCTTACAATGTTTTAGGGTGGCAGAAGTTAATACAAAATCATTAGTTTGGCCCAGGGAAGAGAGATATTTCCAACAAGTGCTTGCAGGTTATAGGTGGATTTAAGGATTTCTTGACTGGCAACTTGTAGTTCCTGTCTAATAAACTTTGGAAATCAGTAGAGGATATGGTGCCCAGATTTGAGAGTCCCCAAGAAACAGCTTTGCCAGGTCATAAAATTGATTTCCTTCCTTATCTGTTAAGTGATGTTATGTCAGAGTCAAGTTGGAGAACAAACTTCAGTATATAGAGTAATAGGGTAATAAAACCCATCTGGTGAGTTCTTAGCAGGCATGACTCTCCAAGTCTCCAAGTTAGAAACTTGGATAAGAGAAAAAAAAGTCAGAGTTTAGTCCTTAAATTCTCCTCCAGGGCGATTCACGGTGAATATTCCTTCTTGTCTGCTTCCCAGAACACTCCCCAGTCAGAGCATCTGCATGCAAAGTTGTACTGGGCCATCTCTTCTAGACTTGGCCTAGTATTTTTTTTTTAACTCCATGCCCAGTACCCAGTGACTAAACAAACTTGATATGTGATTAGTGCACATTATAAACAGTGCTGTCAGCTTCATATTCTGTTCCATTTTTTAAAGTCTGTTTCTCATATTTCCCTCCAGTCTCTAGGAAGTCACCAGACTCTGTTCTTTCACTCGTTCCTCATAGGAGCCCTGCCATGGGGGCAGGTCTACTGCCTGATACGTGCTCCCCTCCATGCCTGTTGGCTGTCATTTCCAGGGTTCTCCCCAAAACACAAAGCACAATAGAGAAATGTGTGCTAGAAATGAGTTTATTACAAGTGAAGGTGACAGGGCTCCTAAGCAATCACATACATGGCACTGATGCTCCTAAAACACTGGGTTCAGGAATGGACATTACAAAACCAGGGAGTGAGCATTCTAAGGTGTTCAGCATGCATCAGTTTCTGACTAAGAAAAAGGGAGAATTCCGAGAGGAGGAGCGATTCCGAGTTGAAATTATGTTTCCAATCAGGAAAGCAGCATCATCCACCCCATCTAAGCCATGTGTATCCTTCACCTTAGCTGGAAGTTGCTTGTTCTCCACAGCTTCTTCTAAGTCCTCATCAGCTAATGGGTCAGCAGAGACTGTGACCCTCTAAGTTATAAGCATGACCCTCAAGTTTGACTACTGAGTGTCAGATATGGTGCCTGTTGAATGACTAAATAAACACAGCCCAGCTCCAGGGAGAGGTGTGGGGCCTCCTCTCCCTGGGGCAGGATCCAGTGCCCGATTAACCAGGGAATTTGGCAAGCCGGCGCCGAGCCTGTGTGAGCCGCGCAAGCCGCTCTTTCAGGAATCTCCGTTTTTCGCTGGTGTCACTCCGCTCCTTCAGGAGCCAGCTGTAAGTGTCCTTTTCCTGCAGAAGCTGCATCATGCCCTTCTGCAGCTGCTCCCCAAAAGTCTGGAGAATGAAGAACTGGATGGTCAAGGGGATGTGACTGGACAGGCGCTTGCTGACCTCCTGGAAGGAAAGGACAGTTCATAGGGGGCTTGAGGGGAACGCTGCAACTGAGAGACCCTGACCTCACCACAAAGACGTAGAGGGCCCAGACTCTCTCTCTCTCTCTTTCTTTCTTTCTCTCTCTCTTTCTTTCTTCTTCTTCCTTCCTCCCTTTCTCTCTCTTCTTTCTTTCTTTCTTTCTCTCTCTCTCTCTCTCTCTCTCTCTCTCTCTCTTTCTCTCTTTCTTTCCCTCTCTCCTTCTCTCTCTCTCCCCCCCCTTTCTTTCTTTGAGGTCACACTCTGTCGCCCAGGTTGAAGTGCTGTGGCATGATCACAGCTCACCAGATCCTCAGCCTCCTGGGCTCAAGTGATCCTTCTGCCTCAGTCTCCCAAGTAGATGGGACTGCAGGCAAGTACCTCCTATCTGGCCTTTTTAAAATTTTTGTAGGGACATGATCTTGCTATGTTGCCTAGGATGGTCTTGAACTCTTGGGCTCAAGCAATCATCCTGCTCAGACTCCCAAAGTGCTGGGATTATAGATGTGAGCCATCACATCTGGCTGGGACTCCATATTTCTATCAGCTTTTTACAACCATTAAACAAGTACTTCTGGGAAGAGGGTCAAATATGCCCCCAAAAGGTAAATGGACAGACAATACAACAACCACATTTCCAAATTATGTGCAACTCTGCTGAAAAGATTTTACAACTTCTTTTTATTTTTCTTTTTAAAAATACAGATGGGCTATCGCTATGTTGCCCAGGCTGGTCCCAAACTCCTGGACTCCAGTGATCCTCCTGCCTCAGTCTCCCAAAGTGCTAGAATTATGGCCATGAGCCACCATACCCAGCCTCAATCTCTCTTTTTAAAAAAATCAACATTCAAATTATTTAGCAGAAAAGATGCTGGGCCTTCAAAGCCACAGAAAGAAACCCTTTAAGTCAAATATATGTACACAATTTTTATCATTTCCTTTCTTCCTCCAAAGTCCCATCTATTAGTGAAAATTTTCTCTATCTCATGATAGGCTAATGTCTTGAGAAACTGATATACACTGGTACCTTGGCAAGTTTCACCACCTCTTTATGCCTCAGTTTCCTTCTCTGTCAAATAGGGATAATATTAAAACCTTAGGGATGGTTAAAAAGATTAAATGAGTTAAAAGACACAAGTTTAAGCCAGGCTCGGTGGCTCAGCCTGTAATCCCGCACCTTTGGGAGGCTGAGGTGAGTGGATTGCCTGAGCCCATGGGTTCGAGACCCGCCTGGGCAGGCGAGATCTCATCGCTACAATAAATCAAAAATTAGCCGGGTGTGGTAGTGCACGCCTGTAGTTCCAGCTACTTGGAAGGCTGAGGCGGAAGGATCGCTGGAGCCCAGCAGGTGGAGGCTGCGGTGGCCGGAAGCGACCACTGCACTCCGGTCTGGGCGACAGAGTGAGACTCCAACTCAAAAAAAAAAAAAAAAATACACAAGTTTAGGAAGATGCCAGCCACATAATAAGTACTCAGTTATTGTTAAGGGAACTAGTCTGTGAGACAGAGATGGAGCTCATGGAGAGTATTCTGAGACCAGAGCGAGTGAGGGATGGAGCCCATCTCCAAACAGAAATGGAGGCCAGGAGACAAGGAACAGGCAGGAGGAAGGCGACTGGGAGCAATGCTGGAGCCACAGATAGGGCACAAGTGAAGGCATCATTGTGTACTGGTGGTGTGAGTGCTCCCTGGAAAAAGCCACAATAATCAGAAGTTACCAACAAACAGAAGATACGGGAGAAAAGACTCCTTTATAGTACAAAAAATGAGAAAATATGTAGGCATAAGCATCTGAAATATGTACTCTCTATGCCAAGAAAGTGTTAACACACTTAATTTGGCTTGGCGCTGGCCCTCTTAATTCAAGTCCTCCCCTCCCAAAGGAAGCCTTGAAAATGGAAAAGATCTGTGGTATCCTTGATCAGGAGACTTGATTTCAGAAAGATGTCAACTCTCCTCACCGAGACCTATGCAGTGAATGCAATCTCAATAAACATACCAACAGTTCTGTCTGTTCATAAGAAACTGGACAAGAGAACTGGGGATGAGGGGGTGGTAGGTAGTACTGACATAGGAGTCAGAGATAAAGCTCATATGCGGTGGGGTGGGGAGATGCCCCCCAAAATTGAATTTGTTTATAAACATTGTATACTTATTCTTACACGTTTAAACTTCAGTCACCTTCAAAGTATTCTCTGATGCAACACACCTATCAAGACACTTTTTTCACTGCTTAGAACCGTTCTTGAACTCATTAATTTTGATGCTTTTTAGTGCTTCTGACATTTTTTGTTTCACCTCTTCCACATCAGCAAAACATTTCCCTTTCAGGTGAATAGGGAGGGTACGGCACAGTGTTCATGCCGTTTTTTGGTCAGAAACTGCTGAACATTCAGCAGTGTGGGCAGGTGTGCTTGTCAATTACCCATGATGAAATGAGCAAACACTTGAAAGAATCTCAAAAAAAAAGAGGGAAGAAATTAACTGAAGCCAAATGCAGCCTCTTTCAACAATGCTAGCTGGTGCACTGATGCTAATAGGTTCCTAGAACACTTACCTAGTGGGGGGAGGGGCGAAGCCTGTAACACAAGGGGCTCATCCTCCAAAAGATAATTCCATTTGTTTTGGGGTACCCCCATACAAAAATCCAATCTACCAACAAACAGAAGATACGGGAGAAAAGTCTCCTTTATAGTACAAAAAATGAGAAAATATATAGGCATAAGCATTTGAAATATGTACTCGCTATGCCAAGAAAGTGTTAACACACTTAATTTGGCTTGGTGCTGGCCCTCTTAATTCAAGTCCTCCCCTCCCAAAGGAAGCCTTGAAAATGGGAAAGATCTGTGGTATCCTTGATCAGGAGTCTTGATTTCAGAAAGATGTCAACTCTCCTCACTGAGACCTATGCAGTGAATGCAATCTCAATAAACATACCAACGGTTCTGTCTGTTCATAAGAAACTGGACAAGCTAATTCTAAAATTTACACTGAAGTGAAAATAGGCAGAAAATGACTACACCAAAAGAAGTGGAGGCCCAGATACTTGTACACCCATGTTCATAGCAGCTAAGAGGTAACACAACCCAAGTGTCTGTGGATAAAATGAATGGATAAAAACAATGTACATCAATGGAATAGTATTCTGCCTTAAAAAGGTGTGAATCTGACACAGGCTACAGCACAGATGAGGATATGATGCTGAGTAAAATGAGTCAGTCACAAAAGGAAATATACTATCTGATTCCACTTAGGTAAGGCTCCTAGAGCAGTCAGAGTCATAGAGACAGAAAATAGAACGGAGGGGCCGGGGGCTGGGGAGGAAGTAGGGAGTTAGTGTTTTGGGCAGAGTGTCAGTTTGGGAAGATGAAAACATCCTCGAGGTGGATGGTGGTGATGGTGACACGAAGGGAAAATTCATGTCACTGAACCATAGGCATACAAGCAGTTAAGTTGGTAAACTTATGCTATGAATATTTTCACACAACGAGAAAAGGAAGGAAGTAGGGGTTATGCGAGGGTGCTAGCTGTATCACACGGTGGAGCACTGTGTGGAGATGCACTAGCATAACCACATGGACACTAATCAATGGGGAAGTAAAAACCAGCAGGACTGAGGACAGGGTCTAGACAAAGGCCAAACACAGAGGGAAAGTGAGCATATGACGGGGTATGTCCAATACCAGTGGGGACAAGTCAGTTTTTCAGGGACAACTGCTAACATCTGGATCCTGCCTCATTCAATCAACAGCATAATATAAAAGTTGAAATAACAAAGTACCTGAAGAAAATATTGTAGACTTTGTTTATCATCTCAGACAAAATCCTTTTAAAAGTATGACCAAAATCACAGAATCTCCAAAAGAAACGATTAAATCCAACTCACAAATCTAGAAAACTTTAGCATGGTCTAAAACCCCTGTAGATGCAGTCACAAGGCAAATGACAAACTGGAATATTTGCATTACCAATCACAAAGGTCTAATATCTCACTGTGCCAGGAGCTTCTGCTGGATGGACAGTTTGCTGAGCAAGAAACAGAAATATCACACAAAAAGACACGTTGCCTCACTGTCAGATAAGCACTGCCAATTAAAAGTACAACCAGATGTCATTTTTCACCTATTAGACTGTCAGACAAAACCCAGCAACTTTAGCGCAGGCTAAATTGGCAAGTGTAGAAGAAAGCAGGACTTCTATGGGTAGTATTTACCAATCTAAAACAAGCTATCCTTTCCCCAGGTGTGGTGGTCAGTTTCATGTGTCCACTTGGTTAGGTTGCAATCTCCAGTGGTTCAATCAAACACAAATCTAGGTATTGCTATGGAAGTATTCTGTAGATGTGGCTAGTATCTATAATCTGCTGACTTTAAATGAAGGAGATGATTCTTGATGCTTTGAATGGCCTCATCTAATCAGCTGATGGCCTTAAGAGCAAAAATGAAGTTTCCCTGAGGGAGAAGAAATTCTGCCTGTGGACTCAGCCTTAGCTCCTTCCTCAGTTTCCAGCTTACCTTCCATGTTGGCCTGCCCTGGGATTCTGGACTCTCCAGCCCCACAATCACATAAGCCAATGTCTTAAAATTTCGTTGTTGTTGCTGCTGTTTTTTGAGTCAGAATCTCACTCTGTTGCACAGTCATACTCATGGTTACTGCAGCCTCGACCTGCTGGCTTCAGGTGATCCTTCCACCTCAGCCGCCTAGTAGTTGGGACTACAGGCATGTGCCACCATGCCTGGCTAACTCTCTGATTTACTGTAGAAATGAGGTCTCACCAAGTTGCCCAGGCTGGTCTCAAACCCTTGAGCTCAGATAATCCTCTTGCTTCAGCCTCCCAAAGTGCTGGGATTACAGGCATGAGCCACTGCACTCAGTTGAAATGAATTTCTTTAAGTACATCTACCTTTGGTTCTGTTTTCCTGTCACAACCCTGAGAAGTACACCAGGAATCTCATTTCTAGGAACTTATGCTTCCAGATACATGATGGACGAACACAGCTATTCGTGGTAACACCCTATGTTAGTGAAAGACTGACAACAAACACTGACCATTAATAGAGGTAACAGCTTCAATTTGCCGTAGCCATAGAGTGGCAGCCAATGAAAAGCACCACAGGCACTGAAGCAGAGTGACCTCCAAGGCACAGCACAAGAAGCAGGGTGCAGAGCAGCATGTGTGCTCTGCTCTCCTTGGTGTAAAAACAATTACACAATGTGCACACAGAGGAGCTTGCCAGTGCATGGAGTCACCCTCAGAGGGCAGGGAAGAAGGGCAAGCTGGGGAGGGGAGCTGCTCAGCTCGGAAAAGGTTGGTTGGAGACCCACTTGCCTCTGTCACTCATTCTACTTTTTGGATTTTGAGTATGTGTGTGCCTCACCTACTCTCAAGCACATGGTTCATTCCATGAGGCAGTACCAGAGCAGACAGGTGCTGAGCATGGCTGTAGGAGAGGTGGTTGTGCTGGCCTATCTCAGCCTTAAGTGTTTGCTCCCAGTGTCTGCAGAAATGGAATTGACCCTTGGTTTCAATCTTGCTGTCCCCAATGTGGTCACCATCAAGTAGCATGGGTGTCCTATGGGAGCTTATCAGAAATAAGCTCAGTCACATCTCAGATTGCAATAAACATCTGCATTTCAACAAGACCCCCAGGAGGCCTCCTGCAGGTTGGAGTTGGAGAAGCATTGCCTTACAGCATCCAAATAGTGAAGTGATGAGGACATCTGGTAAACCAAGAGATTACACTTGCTTTCCCTGCCTAGATTTATACACAGACCCATAGCTCTACCTGAGTTGTACCTGTGTCACCAACTCCTTTCCCCAGGATGAATCAGCCTGCACATCACGTGATTTGAAATGTGTGGTGTCAATCAAAGCATGTATCTATGTGATAGCTTCCATTTAGTGAGTTACCACTGCATTCCAACACTGTGCTAAGGAACTTGTCCATGTTGTCTCATGGACCAGTCACCAGAATCTAGGAGGAGACAGCATTTTGCAGACAAGAAGGCTGAGACTTTGAGAGGTTAAGTAACTTGGCCAGAGCTACACAGCCAATCAAAACCAGATGATAGTGGCTCTAAGCCACAGCCCCTTCTGTCTATCTGAAGTCAAACTGCTTCTATGGAGACTAACAAAGACCTGAACAACTGAGCTGACTGATGGTCAACTCCAGAGAGAGCAAGACTCAAGAGAGAGGCATTCAGGAGAAAAGGAAATTCCATGTAACTGCCATTCTGTGACATTCACAGACTCACCTTGTGGTAGGCAACCAGGTGCTGAAAGATCTCAGCCATTGAAGAGTTTTCAGAGTCTTGTTCAAAGAACGAATCATGTGATCTTTTATTCCTTTTTTCTTCTTCTGTTTCCTTCTCTCGGACCTTCTGCAACGCACCCCTGTAAACCTGATCCTGGCAGTAGACAATCTGCTCCATCTGGAAGTGAAGTCGGATCAACTTGTCACCTTCTTTTTCTTGTTCTGCTCGAATGTCTTCGATTTTGGACTGTGGTAAAAGAGAAACACAGCTCACTTTTCCTCAAGAAGTGATTTCCTGAGTCATAGGAAGATAGGTCATCGAAAAGTCCACAAATATCAGGTTTCCCAACTTGAGTGAAATGGCACATTTCTTTGAAGCAGCCCTCTTGGCCCTACCTCAGCTTATCTAAGTCAGGATGTCCACTCCTGGCAGAGGGTCCAAATCTGCTGGGAAGCCTTAGCCACATTGGTGACCAGTTGCCCCATCCCAGGCCCTGGGAACCTGCATAGACTCTGGTCTCAGGATGATGACTAAGTACTTTATTTTTTCTTCAAGGGCTTTGATATCTAATGGTAAGGAGCATCATATCCATCAGAGTTTAAAGGGATAAGAAGAGGGGGCAAAACTTAAGTCAGTCAAATTCTATGTTTCATGTTCCTGGGGTTTGGAGAAACTTCCTGACCAAAGAGCCAAGGAGGAGAAACTTTACACAAAGAACATCTGGAAACTTCCAGACCTTGGCGAGAGCCACCATGCATAATGCACGATGCTAGATGTGTCCTAAACACTTTCTTCTATGTTCATCATAACCTACTAAAGGTCTTATTAGTTCCATTTTATGCATGGGGAGGGGGGGCAGAGGCACAGGCCAGTGCAATAGCATGTACAAAGACCTACAGCTCATGAATGACAGGGCCTGTTTCTCCATCTGTGCCAGGGAGCCCTGTTTTTCAGAGTGGATGAGTCTGGTCTCTTGGCCCAGACTGTCTCCCTGGTTGGGGGTATGGGAATGTCTCATTTTCTGTCTTTTTCTTCATTCTTAAAGATATCATTTTTTTCACTTGGCTTCTTCAATGAGTTTCTGAATTTGAGGACATTTTCATCAGATGTGATAATCTTCTGACTAACTGTGGATCTCTTGTTCTGATGAGTTTAAATAGTTTATTTCTAAATTCTCTCTTGATCTCATTGCTTTTATACAGACATTAGTAAGATTCACAAGTGAGCTGTATTATTTGCTTCTCCAAATCTATACAATAAAGTTGAAATGGTCTTAATTTAAAAAAATCTCTCTCTAGTGTCAGGCTTAATTTTTTTCTAAAAAATAACACACTGTTGGGTTTACCTTAGCGGTTCTGTGGAGGTTAAAAAATTCCTCAAAATGTTTCACTGAAACGTCTGTGAAAGCGAGTCGGACAATATCTAGTCAAAGAGAAAAAAATAGTTTGAAATTGAGGGGACTATTTGTACTCTTCCTAGATTTCAAAAAATATAAAGATAGCATGGTAAGAAGCAAAGCTTACTCTTTCCCTCCCTTTCTTCTTCTCCTCTTTACCACAGAGAGAAAGGCATGCTCTCTTGAGAACTCACTTGAAGAATTTTAAAATTTAAAACTTTAAAGCATATGCCCCCAGCAAATGTTTGACATTTAAACTTTTTAGCCTAAATAAAAGTAGTTACAAAGAATACAGTTTTTGGAAAATTATAAATGAATTATGTTTTTTTGAGAGTTGGAGTCTCACTCTGTTGCCCAGATTGGAGTGCAGTGGCCGCTCCCGGCCACCGCAGCCTCGACCTGCTGGGCTCCGGCGATCCTTCCGCCTCAGCCTTCCAAGTAGCCGGAACTACAGGCATGCGCTACCATGCCCGGCTGATTTTTTGATTTATTGTAGAGATGAGGTCTCGTTGCCCAGGCGGGTCTCCAACCCACGGGCTCAGGCAATCCACTCACCTCAGCCTCCCAAAGGCATGGGATTACAGGCTGAGCCACCAAGCCCGGCTGAATTATATTTTATAGTAAAATTGTCAAATCACTCTTAAATCTCCCAATGGAATCTGAATGTCCACATTACCTGATGAAAAGAAATACAAAATTAAGCTCTTATTTAGATAAAAAAATTTACGTTATTTTTCTTTATTTTTGAAACTCCTATTTCTACTTTTTCACAGAATTTTATCATAATATAATGTACAGTATATTTATACTTGAAAATCTTTTATTACTCACCATGTCATATATTATATATACATAAACTTTTTTGTATGACTTAAGACTCCAAGTATTATTACAAACTTACTTCTGGACAGAATTAAGAGTGTACAATTGACCAAGACAACACAATTACAGATTTTGGTATATAATTATTAAGCCTAAAGCTTTTTATTCTAAGTATAAATAGCTGCAAAGAATGTAACTTCTGGAAAATTATAAATATATTATGTTTTATAATAAAATTGTCAAATGACTCTTAAATCTCTCAATGGAATCTGAATGTCCACATTATCTGTTTGAAAAAAAATACAAAAACACTAAAAAATTTCATCACTGGATGAGCTGTTCTCAGGCTGTCTCCAGCACCTTAGTTCATGGACCAATGAAGAATTATTCATTACTGCTAAAATGAGACCATTAAAGTTTGAGTAAGACATTGTCAGTTAAGGAGAGGATGAAGAAAATGGATTCAATAACATCAGGAAAACCAAGGAAGCAAAGCATTTCAAGAAGGGTGTGGACATGGTCCCCTACCAATCCATGACAAGGTACACCATCCTAGATTCCTACTCTACTCTAGAATGCTGACATCAAGTCTACATGTACAGTTATTTAACAATTGACCTTACTTCTCAGTGTTCAAATAAACAGAGTATTTTGAGAATGTGAAGCAACCACAGTAGCGGTCTTTGTCCTCTACTCCTGACACAGGGCTCCTAAGTTTGGCGCTGACTTGGGTTTGAACCTTTCTCTGCCCTAGAAATGAAATGACTAAAAGTGAAACCAAGAACTCACCAGTCACCCTGTGCAGCATGTCAACAGCTGGCTCCTCCAGGGTTTTGATTTGCTGTTTTATGATCGACTCAAATGTCCTATAATTCACAAATCCTGGCAGCTCTCTGCCACGATACTGATTTTCAAATTTATGGATTTTGTTACTCATAAGGTCATAACCTACAACAGAAAATAATACCTTTCAATTATTCTCCAAAAACAATCTTGCAGATTTTTCTAAACACAATACCATTCGGGACTTTCTGAAAAATAGAAGTGGTTTTAAAAAAAAGGATATCTCCCGCGCCTTTGGGAGGCTGAGGTGAGTGGATTGCCTGAGCCCGCAGGTTCGAGACCCGCCTGGGCAGCGAGACCTCATCTCTACAATAAATCAGCTGGGCGTGATAGCGTGCGCCTGCAGTTCCAGCTACTTGGAAGGCTGAGGTGGAAGGATCGCCGGAGCCCAGCAGGCTGAGGCTGCAGTGACCGGGAGTGGCCACTGCACTCCAGTCTGGGCGACAGAGTGAGACTCCAAAACTCAAAAAAAAAAAAAAAAAAAGAAAACTATAAAAAAAAAGGATATCAAATCAAATCTAGTTTGCTCATTGAAAAATATTCAGGGATTGCAGTAAAATGATAAATCTCAAGGTTATTTTCCTTAGTTATCTCAATATGGGGAGTGTGGAGCTAGGGTATAAGGCAGAAATCAACAAATGCAGAAACTTCAACTAAGACATGTTCTTGAAAAGGTACTAGAGTATGAACTACTGTAAATTTTATTTTATTTTCACCAAAAAATTTGTACCATAATTGAATATATTCTTTACCCAGACTGTGTGCCTTTTATAAAGTAGCAATTAATATGAACACTCAGTGGAATCAACTATACAACCCATAGGCATGTGTAACAGTATGAGTAGAAAGTACTTATAAAGTAGATGGGATACTAGAGTAACTAGGCACATCAAATTGTACTAATGCAACACTGTATCACTGTTGACTGTATAAAATGCTTTTTTTTTCTTTCTAGACTATGTAGAGGCACTCCAACCAGGGATGGAAGTTAAGAAGGGCTCTGGATCCTCTATTTGAAGAATGAATCAGGAATGGTAGTCTCATACCCCCTTTTGGTCAGGAGATCTTTTCCCATAGTAATGTTTTATTGAGATATCCATCACATACTATACGATTCTCCCTATTAAAAGTAATTTTTAGTATATTCACAATGTTGTACAACTCTCCCCATGGTCTAATTCCTGAATACTTCCATCAACTCAAGGAAACCCTGTACCTGTTGAGACAAGCTAGCTAGATTAGGCATGAGGGAATGGAAAATTACTGAGCTGGAGGTTAAGAAACTCTCCCTGTGACTCATAACTGACATGTGACTGACACAACTCCAAAATTCGTATGTTGAAACTTAATCTCCAACATGGCAGTATTAAGAGGCAGGATCTTTGGGAAGTGATCAGGTCAGCAGTCATGAACAGAATTACAAGCATACCTCATTTTATTGCATTTCACAGATAATGCACTTTTTATACGTTGAAGGTTTGGCAAGCCTGCGTTGGGCAAGTCTGTCATTTTTCCAACAGTAAGTACTCACTCATATTTCTGTGTCAGCATGTTTAAGGAACAACATTTTTAAAAATAAGGCTATGTGCTTTATTTTTTAGGCATAATACTACTGCACATTTACTAGACTACAGTATAGTATAAACCTCACTTTTATATTTTCTGGAAACCAAAACATTAGTATGACTTGTATTATTGTGACCTTCACTTTATTTCAGTTGTCTGGAACTGAACCCACAATATTTCTGAGGTCTGCCTATAGCACCTTTATAAAAAAAGAGGTTGAGGGAGCTTGTTCATCCCTTATGCCACCTGAGGACACAGCTATAAGGTGCCATCTTTGCAGCAGAGAATGAGCTCCCACCAGACACCAAATCATCCAGTGGCTCAACCTTTTACTTTTCAGTCTCCAGAACTGTTAGCAATGCATTTCTATTGTTTCTAAATACGCAGTCTAAGTCAGTTTGCTATAGCAGGACAAAGAGATTAAGGCACTCACTGCTTTTAAAATTTTTTTCAATTATAACACTCCATTTTTGGAACTCATTCCGGAGTTTGGTAAACAGCCGAGTGTCTTCATCTTCCACAGTTTCCTCCCCTTGTACTAAAGCAGCGATATCCTGATTAAATGCTTTAATTTTCTGTCAAGAAGATAAACATCAGTCTAAGCAGAGATCTTTCAAAGACAAAAAGGAGTTTGTGTCCTTATTCCACCCATCCTCATCAACTGCCTCACCTCTTCTGTCTCAACCCAACATATCAGGTTCATGATAGTACCTTGACCCAGTGCTATAGTCTGAGTGTTTGTGCTCTCCCAAAATTTGTAAGTTAAAACTTAGTTTTCAACATGATAGTACTAAGTTGGAGGCTGTATGTATGTTGAGGGTGGGGGAATCATTCCTCACCTCTTTAGGGTCCACTCTGGAATCCTGGGAAAGAAGAGGCTTTGAGACCAGAAAATCCCATCCCTGCCCTTACTACCTACAGATTCTGGGGATGTGGATGACCAAGAGTCAATGAAATGAAACATGACCATCCTTCATGGAGACGCCACCCTCCAGACTCACACCATTCCCTCCCAGTGCCTCTCAACTGTTTTCCTCCCTTTTAGTAACTGTAGACAGCATGCATTGGGATTGGCTTTGGGGGAGTGAAGGAAGAAAGGCACACATCCCTTTTCTGACAATGATGTCTGGGATTTTCCAACTCAACGCAGTGGATGATACTCACATCTATCAGGAAGAACATTTTTTCCGTTTCATCTTCTGGTATGTCAACACCATACTTTTGTAAGTCCTCTGTTATTTTCTGGTGATTCACCTTTATTTGCTCTTCTAATAGGGGCATAGATTTCTGAGGAAAATGGAGAGAAAAAAATCAAGGTAATGTATAACTATGGTCAGGGGATGAAAAGATGGTTCTGGGTCTCCTTCTGCTGAGTAACTGCATGGGCCATTTGATATTCTGGCTTCCTCTAAAAGGAAGATTTTCCAGGTGAGGAGAGAGTTAATTCGAGGCACTGTTTTCTACCCAGGTCTTCCCATTCCCCACTTCGAAACAGCCTCAGGAACCATACTGAGGAACCCACTTTGCATGGTTCCCGGGCCCCATAGGATAACCCAAGGAGCAATTCCTCCTCTGATCAGATCACATAAACCTTCTCTAGGGAGATTAGAAAGATCCACTTGCCTACCAGGTCCTGAAAAAGTGGCAATTGGAATAATTTCAGAGTCAACAACTCATATGTTGTTTTAAAAGATAAAAAGTTACCAAGGACTTATTTTTCTAAAAATATGGTTGACTGCACATGCTGGCTCACCCGTCCACGGAAAATATCTAAAAATGCTGGCTAAAATGTTAAAAGCTGCCCCTTTAAATGGATCTGTGAGCTGATAAGTTAATGACAGCAACCACCCAGGGACTCAAGAAGAAAGTAGCAACAAAGCCAAATTCGGCCTCAAGTGCACTTATCTAGGTAGGAAAACTTGAATTTGAGTGTATGAGCCTGACTTGATGCAGAGGCAAAAAAATCAATTCCCCTGGGCTTGCTTGAGATGGGGGTCTAATAACGAAACATCCTCTTTCTGCATAAAGGTGGGACTCCAAAGAGTTCCACTCTCCACTCTCATTATCACTGTCAGCTAGAAACAAGCCTGTTCTCTACCCTCATTTCTGGGCACTGTGGAAGACCTTGAACTCTGGTGCCGAGTTGAACACTTGAAAAACCAAGAGCCTATGTTCAGGCAAGTTTGAAAAAGAAGCCCAGAGAGCTTTTAGAAATGAAAAATTTGTTCAACACAGTGGCTAAGACATTATAATAGTGGCTGGCAATGAGAAAGACAGAGTTAGTAGAATGCATGTAAGATATTTTTTACTGAGGCCAAGCTGAGATAGTCTATCAGCATCCCACCCAAAGTGTGGTTTTCTGACAAGCAACATCCAGATCTCCCAGGGGCTTGCTAGAAATGCAGAATCTCAGGCTTCACCACTCTAGACCCACCGAATCCGAATCCGTATCCTAACAAGATCCCTAGGACATCTGTGTGTGTAGCAACATTTAAAAGTCAGCAAGTTTCAGCTCTGAGTGTGTAAGATTCTTTTCAGACAACAGGCAGCTCTATGGGTGCTTACAGAGATGTGCGTGATGAGCTCTGTGGTAAGTCTGTCTGCTAGGTAGGGAACCGTGGCCCTTCCTTCCTCCAGAAGTTCTCTGCAAGAGAACACAAAATAGAATCCCGTCTTTATATGGCCAGAACATGCAAATCTGTATTCCACTGCCTGGGAAAGTCAAAGCAAATTCCAGCTACTTACAACTGAGTGAAATGTCTTGCAATAGGTACCCAACTAATATTCAGAACTGGATTAAACGGAATTAGGACAAATTTTAGCAATCTTGCATATTTCATCAATGATGTGAAATGATCCCTTCCAGCGAATATAATAAAAGTGTCTCAAGACATCTGACTACAGAATTGGTCTTCATCAAAATACACATCCATACCTATAGATGTATTTTCATAACACACACTCCCTTTTATGTGTGATATATATTACACATATTTCATGTAGGTATAGGTATATAAAAACATATTGATGCATATTTATGTAAGTGTGTGAATGAATATGAAACAGAAAGAGACACACCCTTGCCCAGGATAAAAATTTAAATCATGGGCTGTCTAGAGGAAGGAAGACAAGCACCTCCTCATTTTACCCAAATCTGTGTTCACACAGTGAGTTACAACAGGGTTTTCCACATTTTTAAAGGACCTTTTAGGATAAAGACAGCAGGGCCAAATGAATTTCCAGGCCTTTTGGTGAAAGTACACTTATACCTAAGCTTCAGTTTCTACACCTGTCCATTTTTCAAAAATGTGATAAAATACACATCACATAAAATTGACAATTTTAGCCCATTTTTAAGTGTACAGTTCAGTGGCATTAAGTACATTCGCACTGTAGTACCACCATCATCACCGCTCATGGCTAGAACGTTTTTATCATGCAGAACTGAAACTCTGTCCCTATGAAAAACCAATTCTTTAGTCTTCCTCCCCAGTCCCTGGCACCCACTCTTCTACTTTCTTGTCTCTATGAATCTGACTACTCCACGGACCTCACTGGAGTGAAATCATACTATATGTATCCTATTATATCTGGTGTATTTCACTCAGTGTAATGTCCTCAAGGTTCATCTATATGGTGGTGGGTCAGAATCTCCTTCCTATCATGCTCCATTTTATAAATAGACCACATTTTGTTTATCCACCAGCTGCTGATGGACACTTGAGTTGTTTCACCTTTGGCTACTGTAAATAATGCTGCTATAGGCCAGGCATGGTGGCTCATGCTTACAATCCAAGCACTTTAGGAGGCCAAGGTAAGCAAATTGCTTGCACCCAGGAGTTCAAGACCATCCTGGGCAATGTAGCAAGACCACCTCTCTATGAGAAATTAAAAAAAAAAAAATTAGTCAGGCACAGAGGCATGTGCCTGTAGTCCCACCTACTCAGGTTGAGGCTGCAGTGAGCTGTGATTATCATGATCGTGCCACTGCACTCCAGCCTGAGTGATAGAATGAGACCTTGACTCAAAAAATAAAAATAAATAAATAAAAATAAGATAATGCTGTCATGCAGAATGCTGTCTGACACTCTTGCAGTTTTGAGTAATGCCTCTCTGCAGGCTTCTAGGAGAACTGAATGTAAGAAGTTTATTAATCTACACATTCTCATTATGTTAAATCTGACCACTTTATCAGTCTTTTCCTTTAAAAAAACTTACTTCTGGTATGGGGGTTACAAAGGTCTTCAACCTGGAATTATAAACTAGTCATTCACATTTTCTTCTGGGAGGCTATGATTCTTTTTTATCTTTATAAAAATGTTTATATTTAATGTTAAACTTCAACAGACATTGATTTTGATATACTGTGTTAAATAAGTGTATTTTTTTCCTAATTAATAAAACAATTATCCCAATGTCACTAACTGATAAACTGATACAGCCCACTAATTTGAAATGCTGCAATGATCATCTATTAAATATATGTATTCAGGTCTATTTCTGGGCTTTCTACTTTTTTATGTATTCTGTTCTATTTATGCTTTTATTCCAGATCTAACACCATACTATATAAACTATTGTAGACAGTCCCTTCCTTATTTTGATTGATTTGTAATTTTTTTTTTGAAATACTTTGTGAATTCCCCTTTTATTCTTCCAGACAAGTTCCTAGCCATTGCTGAGGTACACACACACACACACACACACACACACACACACACACACACACACACACCCTAAGTATCTGCTTTAGACAGCAGCCATTTTCCTCAGTAAGGATTGACATCCTTAGTGTGTCTACCCGTGATGAAACCTAGGTACCAGACCTGAAATGTGGGTGGTCCTCAAAGAAGGCCTTCTCTCTTTGCAGAGCTTCAGACAGGCTCAGCTGGTCCTGGATTTCCTGCTGACCCCGGCACTTGACGATCATGTAGCCCTTCTTCAGGTGACACACAAGGTTTCGTGCCACATCAACGATCTGGTCTTCGGTACCTTTGTCCACCAGATCAGGCTTTGTCAAGATTCCTGCGAGCCAGAGACTTGGTTAGAGAATGTTCTGGTCACCAGGCCCATGGACCCCGGCTTCCTGGGGTTTCCTCTCACCTTTGCTAAGGGACCTAGGGGCCAGTGAAGACCCATCTACAGAGAACTGCAGGGCATTGTGTGTGAAGAGGGGGAAACCCCTTACGAGCACCCATAGGTCCTCCCTGAGCTCCACCTTCCTAATCCACTGTACAAATAGACCATAGTTTGTCTGTCTCTTCATAGTTTGTCTGTGGCTTCTGTCTCAAATGCATCTTCATGGACATGATTTATTCCTGACTTGTCCTGCCCTCTGAACCCACTGTGCCTTTCCTAAGCAGGTAGATAAGGGTTGTGAGGTCTCCTGTGACCAACAAGAATCAAAAGGCTCATGCTACCTGGCCTCAGCGGACACTAAACTGCCACCTTAGCAGGTCCCCACACCCTGTGTATGCTGAGCAACACTCATTAGGATTCCAGGGATGATTTTCCACTGCACATCACCTACCATGTGCAGGATCCCCCCTCTCACCTATGGTCCTGTCGCCCTCAGGGTCCACCTCCTGAGCCATGCTCAGTGCCTCTGTGGTGGCGATGTCCACATTACAGGGGACCACCACCAGGTTGATCGTCTGCTGCCTGTAGATGTACTTCCTGATGAGTGCCTTGATCTGTGAGAAAATGAGAGGTGGTGAAGTGTGAGTGTGGCCAAAGGGAATAAGGGCTGAGACAGGGCTCACCTTGCACTTGCTTCAGGCCCTAAGAGTCTCCCAAAGAAATAACTATGGAGAAATGAACCCACAGAAGCAAACCTGGTGGCACCTTTCAAGCCAGAGATGAGAAAGTAAGTTCTTGTTGGCAGAAACAGAGCTATGAGCTCAAAGAAAATTATGAAGTTTTAGCTGATTAACTTATCCCCTAAGACCTTGGGTCTGATGGTCACAGTGGAAAATAAGATGACCAAAAAAAAATTGCTTGATTCACTCCTTAAATCTTTAATCTGTAAAGTGAGATTCACTGATACTCAGACATCATCCCTATTTTATTTTTATTTTTGCAGAGATGGTGTCTCTCTCTGTTGACCAGGCTGGTCTTGAAGTCCTAGCCTCAAGTGATCCTCTCATATCAGCCTTCCAAATCATGGGAACTAGAGGCATGAGACACCATGCCTGGCCCAACACTTATTTCTAATACTCTCTCTTCCCACATAATGCCCTTTCCTAATGCACATGTGTTTAGATTGCCACAAAAATGTAACTCCAACCAAAACAGGTCATTGTATAAAATACAAAATAAACACACATAAAATGTGTTCCCAATTCTACCTATTTGCCTCACTTTCTCTGGAGAAACTTTCATCAATCTCAATGGAGGGGATCTCAGCCAAAGTGTTCTCCAAATTCCCCACTCATGTCTCCAAATACTTGCCCTTCAAAACTCAGCCCTATGCTCACTGTTGTGCTAATGCAGCACCCCTATTCCTCTCCAGTCCTGCCAAGGGTTAGGTCACAATGGAGTCTGACCTCTCACCTGACGCCCAATGTCGGCGGGCTGGTTGCCCACAGCCACCCTGGTTATGCCAGGAAGGTCTATAAGAGTCAGATCCGGGACATGTGGGGAGCTGACCTCCAGACTGATTAACTCATGGCTGATTCCCATTCCTTCCCCTGCAATGACGTTCTGGGCTTGAAAAGAGAGAACAAAGAAAACCAAACAGAGTTAGGATGGCAGGGGCTCATGACAGTGACTCTGAAAGCACCTTCTACTCTCTGCAAGTCATGGCTAAAAGCATACAATTTGGAGCAGATTCATTTTTCTGTGACTGTAGCTAGCAGGACCTAACAGGATAACTCAGTATGTTCCCTACTGGTATCCAGTACTGTCTGTAGAGATACTGCCCCATGTCAGCCCAAAGCTGAGTAGAGGCAAGAAGTTCTTCCTGGTGGCAAACCTCAATCTCTCCTATCGATGTCAGCAGAAAATGATTGACAAAGTAAAACGAACACAAACAACAATACATGGGACTTCCTAAAACATAAACTGGAAAGTTATATGGGGGAATTTGATCATTTTAGCCAAGATGAGTACTGGCTATTCCTATTCCATTAAGAGATTCCTCCTTACTAATGAAAATTTCAGGTTGTGAATTTGCTTCATCAAATCATTAGCTAATACCACTTTACTCTTTTCTATATCTAGAATGTCTTTTTGGTATGTTCGATACAAACCTGAAACTTAGATTGCATCCAATAACAATAGTGGCATGTGTGACACAGTCTGCTAATTGTTTCCCCAATGTGCATTCACCTGAGATGTGGTCATGAGGTTGGGTTCTGGCCCACACGGAGCATGTGAAAATATTATGTGCAACTTCCAGAAACCACGCTTAAAAAGGCAGGGATATCAATTTCTAGTTCTTTCAGATACCGCCACACTGTCTTCCAAAGAGGTTGTACTAGTTTGCATTCCTATCAGCAGTGTAGCAGCATTCTTTTTTCTCTGCATCCTCGCCAGCATCTGTTGTTGAATGTTTTATTAGTGATGGCCATTCTTCCTAGGGTTAAGTGGTATCTCAATGTGGTTCTGATTTGCATTTATGACTCAGCAATTCCCCTATTGGGAATATGCCCGGGGGAACTCAAATCATTCTACAAAAATGATACCTGCACACGTATGTTTGTTGCAGCTCTATTCACAATAGCAAAAACATGGAACCAACCATACTGCCCATCAAAGCTGGACTGATAAAAAAAAAAAAAAGGTGGTACATATACATAATGGAATATTATGCAGCCATAAAGAAGGACAAACATATGGACTTTGCAGCAACTTGGATGAATTTAGAGTCAATCACATGCAGTGATCTATCACAGAAATAAAAAACAGAGTACCATATGTTCTCACTCATAAGCAGACCTTGAACAATTATAATACTATTAAGAAAGGGATTGGCGATAATGGGAAACTGTCAGGGGAGGAGGGGTGGGATTGGCAGTTGAGGAAAACTGTTAGGGGAGGGAGGGGTATACCTCATCAATAAGGGTGCCTGCATAATCAATGTTTGTATACCTAAACCTGAATTGTACCCCACATCTTTATTAAAAAAAAAAAAAGGCAGGGATATGCCTTTTGCCATGGATTAGCTTCATCTGAGCCATAACTGGCTTGAATGTGGGTTTGCTGATGAAATAACAAGGGAGGGCCTTTGGAACAGAGGCTGCAAACAATGAAGAGACAAGATAAGAATCTCAGTTCCTGACACTGGAACCCTCAAACCAGCACTGGTCTGCCTAGCTCTAGACTTATATGTGACAGACAGAAAAAGATAAGATCTTCCACACTGTTTAAACCACTATGTCGGCAATTTGTTTGCACATATGCATCAATAGTCCCTTCCATCCTTGTACGTATGCTACTTAACATAACAACTTCTTCCACTAAGAAAGTCTGTCCATAGCTGGGCTTGGTGGCTCAGCCTGTAATCCCACGCTTTGGGAGGCTGAGGTGAGTGGATTGCCTGAGCTCACAGGTTTGAGACCCGCCTGGGCAACTCGGTGAGACCTCATCTCTACAATAAAATAAAAAATCAGTCGGGCATGGTAGAGTGTGCCTGTAATTCCGGCTACTCAGAAGGTTGAGGTGGAAGGATTGCCGGAGTCCAGCAGGTTGAGGTTGCAGTGGCCGGGAGCAGCCACTGCACACCAGTCTGGGCGACAGAGTGAGACTCCTACTCAAAAAACAAAAACAAAAACAAAAAACAAAGAAAGTCTCTGGCTAATAGGATCTTAAAAATGTGATGCCAGTAGACATACTACAAATCAAGGCTTGCTTTCTTTCACTGCTGGGAACCCTTCCATCACATAAAAAAGCCCATTCTAACCTCCTGGAGGATAAGAGACAACATGGAGAGAAGGCTTGGTTATCTCAGCCAAAGGCCATGCTAGACCCTTGGCCCCAGCAAAGCCAGCCCAGAGAAGAACTTCCCAGCCAGTTCACTGACTCATGAGCAATGAAAAACATTTTAAGCCATTAGGTTTTAAGGTGGGCTTGTTACACAGCAAGAATGACTGATATACAAGGTTATTTTGAGTTTGCTGCCACAGGTAGGCAACCTCATCCCAAATATTACAAAATCACAGCTTGTGTATAACATTATTTCTATAAAACAGTCAAGAAATGTTAATTAGTGCTCCTATCGTGACAAAAGCTAAGCCAGTCTCTTCCTACTGGTGAGTATCGTTTCACACAGCTTCAGTACTGTCCTCAAATGACTGGAACTTAACCATGTGACATGCTATGACAATAAGGAAGATGTCATTTTCTCTCACAGCTGCTGCTGTATCACCTTTTTTGTCCTTACCTATACGGCTAGTGTTATTTCCCCTTCCAACTGCTTCAGATTGATTTTTGCAGTTTGTGTTTACTGAGACCTGCCTTGAATTAGCCTGAGCTTTCCTCGTTGAGGAAAAGGCACACTGTTTTGGAATGGGGTTCAATGATGGGGTCAGCAGCTTGGGATACCTTTTTATAAGGTAACAGGGGAAGGAACCCCCTCACTCCCATCCTGGTTCCGATTCCATCTGATATACAGAGTAGAAAAACTCTTGAATAGGGGACAGATCCTTCATATTTGAAGATAAGTTTTAAATTGTAAAATTCACATTATTCTCAGATACTTTCATACTAAGCAATAAATTATTGAGATCAGATTTTGTCCAAATGTGCTGGTCTTAATGGGGGTTTAAAAAAAAGGGGAGGGGGAAGGACAAGTACAGTGGCTCATGCCTGTCATCTCAGGCTGAGGTGGGAGGATAGCTTTAGCCTAGGAGTTTGAGACCAGGCTGGGCAAGATAGCGAGACCTTGTCTCTACCAAAAAAAGAGAAAGTACAAAGGAGCTGGGGCCTGATGTGGAGGAGGGAGGGGTCCTCAGGGATGAACCCAGGCCCAGAAAGGCAGCAGTGGGAACAGTCACAGGCAGACCCCAACCAGGCACCCAAACAGGGGCTGACAAACAAACATGGGGTACTTACCTTTGGTGATTTCCTTTTCCACCTCCAATGCATCTGAAATCTCAGTCTCAATGTGCTGATAACTGACCTTGCCTTTCCATTCCTCTCCATGTCTAAGTTTCCTCAGTTTCAGCACCAGTGGACATCTTGTCACGATCCCTAGGAGGACACACCCGCATTAGTGCTCTGGTCTTAAAAGTTCTATATAATGCCTCTGTCCAGTGGTTCTCAAATCTTTTTTTTTTTTCTTTTCTCTTGAGTCATGGTCTCACTCTGTTGCCCAGGGTAGAGTGCAATGGCATCACTACAGCCTTGACCTCCTGGGCTTAAGCGATCCACTCCTACCTCAGCCTCCTGAATAGCTGGGACTACTGGCATGTGTCACCACACTCAGATAATTTTTAAATTTTTTGTAAAGCTAGGGTCTCGCTATGTTGCCTAAGCTGGTCTTGAACTCCTGGCCTCAAGCAATCCTCCCACTTCAGCCTCCTAAAGTGGCGAGATTATAGGTGTGAATCACAGCACCAGGCCCTCAAACTTTTATTTGATGATCTGGGAAGACATCTAAAACTGAAAATCTTCTGGTCTCATCTTCTGATACTCAGATGCATTATGTCTGGGGTAATTTAAAAAAAATATACATTTTGAATATGTATCCCAGGTGACTTTTTGCTTATTACCACTTGAAAGGCACCACTTTAGTCTTTCTGCCTCATTGCAATGTTTTTCCATCAGCTCAGATTGGGAATTGCAGTGGGAAACTTCCCAAATTCATCCAAACATCCTTCATTATTCCCCCAACATACATTCCCTACACCTATCAATAAGGCTATCAAGAAGACATACTGGCATACCATTCACCTTACAACACTTCCCACTGTCAACTCCTTTTTAATCCTACCTCTCTACCATGTCTAACCTGGATTCCAAGACCTATCCCAGGTTTGACCTCTTTCCTCAAGCCCTCATTAATATTCTCAGCCTTGTAACTCAAACAGCAGCACCCACCAGAGCACCAATCTTTATCTCTCAAGATGGTGGGTCACCTCTTGGGAAGGGGTTTAGGAAAGACACCCACATTCACATAGTTCTGGACTGGGGGACCCAAATGTGCTTATTCAGATCTTCCACAAACTGTAAATGACAAACAACTTACACAAAAAATGTGTAAAGAGATGGTGTTATGGACTGAATAGTGCTCCCTCTAAATTCATATGTTGAATCCCTAACCCCAATGTGACGCAACTAAAGACAGGGGTTCTTTTTTTTTTTTTGAGTTGGAGTTTCACTCTGTAGTCCAGACTGGAGTGCAGTGGCCGTTCCCGGCCACCGCAGCCTCGACCTGCTGGGCTCCGGTGATCCTTCCGCCTCAGTCTTCCAAGTAGCCAGAATTACAGGCATGCACTACCACGCCTGGCTGATTTTTTTTAAATTTATTGTAGAGATGAGGTCTCGCTGCCCAGATGGGTCTCGAACCCGCGGGCTCAGGCAATCCACTTACCTCAGCCTCCCAAAGGCGTGGGATTACAGGCTGAGCCACTGAGCCTGGGTGACAGGGGTTCTTAAAGAGGTAATTATGGTTAAATGAGGTCAAAAGGGTAGAGTCATAATCCAATACAACTGATGCCCTCATAAGAAGGTAACAGACACCAGAGCTGCCTGTTCACAAAAGGAAGTCATGTGAGGGAACAGTGAGAAGTTGGCCACCTGTAAGCCAAGGAGAAAGACTTCAGGAGAAACAACCTTGAGCTTGGACATCTAGCCTTCAGAATGGTAAGAAAATAAATTTCTGTTCTTTAAGCCACTCTGTAGTATTTTGTTATGGCAGCCTGAGCAGACTCATACAGAGTATAAGTTCTTACCGCTGCCTCTGGGCAGTGCGACTCCTGACAGAGCTTCTAGCACAGAGCTCTTGCCTGAGCTCTGGTCTCCAATGACAGCGATGGCTGGCAAGGCCAGGTCTTGCTCCACGCCCAGGGCCCGCAGGGAGTCGATGAGGTCGATGCAAGGACGTACCTTCTCCTCATACTGGTTGCATAAGTTATTCTCAGGCTCCTGAAAAAGCAAAAATGACCTGCAAGTCATACTTCACTAAAGATTGCCAACTTCAATAAGCCTAAAATACAAATTATTGGAATCTCCTAAAGAAAGTAGAAGAAAAACAAAAAAAATTGAAGAATACACATTAATTTCCTCAAACATAATGCAAATCATAAATCCAAAGATTCAAGAAACTCAGCAAACCCTAAGCACAACAAACTGCATCAAGGCACAATAGAGTCAAATTGCTTAAAACCAGTGACAGAAAATATGTTAAAAGCAGTCAGAGAATGACATATTTTTTTTTATAGAGGAACAAAGATAAGATTGATAGTATATTTCTCATCATAAACAATACAAGTGAGTCGGCGAGCGTCTCGTGGTGGGTGCGGAGCCTGCGGCCGTTCCCGCGGCCTCCTCCTCCTCCCCGTTCCCCTCACCCCCACCCCGCACCCCTTTCCCCATCCCAGCTCCGTCACGCTCCCGCCCCCCACACTCAGGACGAGAATGCCCTGCCCGGAACAACCCAGCAGCGCCTAGATGGCTTTGGTCACGGTCCAGCGGTCGCCTACCCCCAGCACCACCTCCAGCCCCTGCGCCTCGGGACCAAGACTGCAAACTGCTGAATAGACAGACTGTAAAACAGAGGGAAAAGTGAACAAAACCAGAAGACCCTCATAAGGAAGAACAGGTCATTGCAGAAGAGAAATAAAAGCAACCCCACCTTCCCTCAAAAACAGAATTGAAGAGGGGGAGGGAAAGGGGTAAAGGGAGAAAAATCTACAGAAATGAAGAAAAACCAAAAGAAGAGTATGGGTCTCTCCCAGACGCCTGGGAGAGCAGACACTGAGAAAATTGACTTTGGAATACAAACAATGAAAAGTCCCCAGAATGAAGGGTCTCAAAATGCAAATGTAGATATCAAAACAATAATGGAGAGATTAAAAAGAATTGAGGAGACACAAGAAGAAACTAGGAAGGAGCTGATATCTGAGATAACAGTAATAAAGAATACTGTGAATGAAATAAATAACAAATTGATAAGCATGGACAGCAGAATTACCCAAGCAGAAGAAAGAATCTCAGAGCTTGAGGACCAAAATATAGAAATAACCCAAACTCTTAAAAACACAGAAAATAAGCTAAAAAAGACAGAACAAAACCTTCAAGAGATGAGTGACTACCTCAAGAGGCCTAACCTAAGACTAATCGGACTCCCTGAGGCAGAAAGAGAAACAGAGACCACATTGGAACAAACTTTCCACGAGATCATTCAAGAAAATTTCCCTCATAATCAGTGATACAAAAATTCAAACACAAGAGATTCAGAGAACCCCCGCAAGACAACAAATGAGAAGACCAACTCCTAGACACATAATAATTTGCCTAAATAAAGTAGGCACAAAAGAAAAAATCCTAAAGGCAGCAAGAGAAAAAGGCCAGATCACCTACCATGGAAAGACCAATCAGAATAGCAGCAGATTTATCTTCAGGAACCCTGCATGCTAGGAGAGCTTGTAGCCCTATCTTCAAGTCCTAAAGATAAACAATTTCAACCAAGATAACCTACCCAGCCAAGCTAAGCTTCATCAGTGAGG